CTCTCTCTCTCTCTATATATATATATATATATATATATATATATATATATGTATATATATAATTAATACAAATATAAAATTTGTCACTTAGTCCGACTCCAGAGTTTCGTAGACGAAACTTTTTGTAATCGTTCGGTCCACTTGTCAGGAAGATATATAACATATGGTATTATGAAAATTATTTTTTGATGTGATTTTAGATAGCCCTGTTTTTTCAAACATTGAACACTTATTTTTAACTTTTTTTTTAATTACAACGGGCGTAAGTTTTTGAGAGTTCCAATTTCTTTCATTATCCCCAACTAATCCTCATATATTATTTCTGTGCTTAACTCATTCTTTCCAAATTTCTGTGTCTATAGCTTTGCTGTCTGGCAAGACCGATCCTTGCATGGAACATTCCTTCCACAGGTTACCCAAGATCATTGGAGCGGATCCTAATTGGATTTGGTGAGCTTTCTGTTTTTGCCCTATATTTCTATGGCATTCTTCTTCGGAAACAAAATTGTTTGACGCCAGAATTGACGATTTGCTGCTATTTCTTACCAGGTTTACAGGTTGATCTTGCCTTTTTTTAATAGCCTATTTCAGTTGATCTTTATAGTGACGCACAGGTCAACCGCGTGTTCTTTGTCCGGGAGTTCATTGGCGCTGGACTATGTCACTTTTAGACGTAATACATGAACTTTATATTAACTAATTTATTTATAAAAAAATAACCGGCTATTTTTCTTCGTCTTATATAATTACACTTTGATATAGTGTACCTGGCGACCGTCAAACGTACTTAATATCTAAAACTAATTCGCAAAACAAACATACACTAATATAAACACGCGCACCCATACAAAAAGAGAAAAAAGAAAAAGAAAACAAGAGAAAGAAAATTTGATCTGAAAAGCCGTTAATAATAATAATAATAATGTTTCCATCAAGAAAAAAATCCAATAGTCCGACGAGACAAGAGATCGAAACCGCTACTACGAAATCATCTCTGACGACAACCAGAACAAGGCCGAGTCTCTTCCGGGCGAGTGCCATTACAAACAATCCCTGGCAGTCTCCTGGAAGCTACAAATCGGTGAAAGAATCTCTGGGTCGCTTAACGGATACAGTGGCCACAAGCCTCTTGCCGGATATCAAAATTACCAACCCGAGATGGCCACCAGAGAACAGGGATTGTAAATCTACCTTCAATCAAAATCTTGTCAGGCAGAGAAAAGTGACTGGAAGCTCTGAACCCCCAAAAGGTATTGCACAACAGTTTAATGAGCTTGCCAAGACTCACGTAACCAAACCGGCGCCTGTTTTCACGAGAAAGGTGGCGCCCTCTAGCGCTTCTTTTTCGGACGTGGGAGCAAGAATATATGTGGAACAGGCTCCACCTACCGGAGAGTTGATAAAGCTTGTCAGTTAGATGTAGCGAAAGAAGACTGCGCTATTGCGATCTCACCAGCCAAAAGCGTAGAAATACGGCAGAGAAACATGGTTATGGCGAAGATCAAATTTTACGAAGGTTCGATTTCTGAGGATTCCGTGATGGGTGGCGTGGCAAGGAGAGAACAAAAACTTTCCAAGAATCACGGAAGAAAAAACCGCAACTCTCTCTACCCGTTAGCAGTGGTAGGCAGTTATCGGACGTTGGTCAGATTACAAGACCAATCGAAACATCTAATGATTTTGAGAATAAAAACGACGTCGGTAGGGGCCAGTTTCGTACACCCTCAAAAGAATACAATGTAGAACAAGACTCTGAGGCCAAGTTCACCGTTGTTCCCGGCTCAAAAATCCAAAGTCAAGAAAAGGATCTTATTGAATTTTCAGAAGCTAAAACGAAAAAACTAGACCCAGAAAAGAGGGAAGAGATATCGAAAAACAGGACGTTGCAACTTCTTCCTCCGTCATTGGACAAGATAGAGCAGTCGACATTTTTAACCAGCAACCCACATTTAGAGTCTCCCAAATCAGAACTTCCCTCAAAGTTCGAAAAGCAGCATTCGAACGAAGCACTAACTCCTGAAGTTACAGATTGCAGCAAGTTGTCGCGTTCGGTCTCAGAAACCGAAGACGCAAAGGATGTATATTGTCCGCTACACGCAAACCGCGCCCAGAAACAATTTCTTATTGGTCAGCACAACGATAAGATCTCCGTAATTACGACCACCAAATATGACGACGTCGCCCAAGAGGAGTCCTCTTTTACCGACTGCTGGGGTGAAGTGGTCAAGGCAATGGTCACTCCGCCTACGCCTGAAGACAAACAGAAGAATGATAATATTTTCATGAAGGAAGAGCGTAGCCAATCGGATTCTGCTGTCGGTCAGAAAGTTGTCGGTCACGCGTCGTCTGAGCAGGATGAGAACCCAAAGGACTGGTTGCGCCTCAATACGTACGATGCGGAATCGAGGCGTGGATCAGACTGTACTGGACTTAAACGGCATAAGACTCTTATCTCTCCCCGGCGCGTGGTCTCGTTGAAGCAGGAACTACCAAAGAAAAGGTAAGTGATATAAAGAAAGTGTTTCTTTTGGTTTTAAGATTACAAGCGCCACCAGATCATGGACTATTTGGGTCGGTTTATGGGTCGCATGAAGTATAGTACATCGTAAGGTGGATTACACTACTTAAATAAAAATGAAGGTAATTTTTTATTAAAGATATCACAGCGATTTTCCAAGCAGACGATCATGCGCATAAACATGCGCACAAGTCGATTTTTTTTCTTTGGAGTAAAAGTTCCTTGTATAATTAAACAACAAGAACAAGAAAAGCTGAAGCCTTTCTATATTATCAGTAATGACAGGGGATTAACACACACTACTGCATTTGTTTCTAACTTATTCATTTGATTACACAAAAAAATTCATGTTTCTTAGTCAAGAGATGTTTACACGTATGATCTTCCTTAGTGAAAATCGCCAATGGTTTAAAATGCTAACAACATTACTTTCAACGAAAAGTTACAAAATACAAGAAACATTGTACTTAATCATTGTTTCTGTATGTGGTTATGTATGAGAGAATGTGTGAGTGAACAAGTGAGAACGAAAGGAAACAAGCAACATTTTAATAAATGTTATTTTTCTCATGAAATTAGGCGTGCTATTCATAGCGCCAATGACTGGTTTAAGTCGTTCTATACTACAAGCATACTCGTGGAGCAACTAAGGGCCAGCATTGGAGGCCTATAGAAAAGCTTCTCATTCTACTGGGAGCGATGCATTTTAGTTTCGGTTTGCGATATTTCGCTTCTGTAGTCGGCTTCATAAATTTAAAGAAATGGTTTATGCCGTTCTATACTACAGACCTAGACGCGGAGCAACTAAGGGTCAGAGCTGGAGGCCTATTTTAAAAGCTTCTCATTCTACTGGGAGCGATGCATTTTAGTTTCGGTTTGCGATATTTCGCTTCTGTAGTCGGCTTCATAAATTTAAAGAAATGGTTTATGCCGTTCTATACTACAGACCTAGACGCGGAGCAACTAAGGGTCAGAGCTGGAGGCCTATTTTAAAAGCTTCTCATTCTACTGGGAGTAACACATTTTAGTTTCGGTTTGGGTTTGTGGAAAGTTTGCTGCTGTATCCAGGCTTAAGAAATTCAAAGACATTTTTGCTTTTACATTTGAAATAACTTTAGCTTATTTAATTGACTTGAGTATAAGATTTATTTATTTTATTTCCTTCGAACTTGCTATATTATTTTTTGTTTATTCCAAAAACAAACCTTTTTGGAAAAATTCATTAAAAATGCAATTTCAAAATCTTGGTCTTGCCACATGGAAGTTTATTTAAGATTTTTCATTTAAAGCAATGATCCCCAACATGGGGCGCATGCCCCACCGGTTGGGTCGGTAATATTTTGGTGAGGCATGAGTAGGTTGTGCACCCTTCGGCTTATGGCACCTTGCATTTATTGGAAATATTCATAGAAATATGAGTTAATTTTTTCTTATTCAGTTTATTAAACAGGTTGTTAATTTTTTTTTCTTTAAAACGGAAAATAACTGGGTTGAAAATAATTCACTAAGAATGTACTAAACGATCCTAAAGCAAGGAAAAAGAAAGAAAGGAAAAAGGAAGAAAGGAAAGATAATAACAAAAGGGGGAAAGAAAGGAAAAGACATGATATCAAAACAGGCCGCTGGGTGTGGACCAGATGTCGGTCAGAGCCTCTGACTGACCTTAATTTTTGTTGAAAGAATAGAATTGAGATATCGGTCGCGAGCGCTGACCGACATGTTCGTAGAAGAATTCTTATCAAAATAACGAAAGGTAACTTTTAAATTAGAATAATAGAAATGAATTTTACTTTAGTCAGAGAGAAAGTGTCTTTGGGTTGGGGAAGTGACTGGTGAAAACGATATACGGAATTGACCTGTTAAGAATTGGACACCCACGTTAAGAAAGTAGAGATATTTCGACCTAGATAATTAAGATTCTCGGCTATCAGGAAAAACAAAGAGGTAAAAAGAAGAGCAATTGTTTTTGGACCACGGAGGGCGCCAGGAAGGCGGAAAAGATCCTTTCTAAAAGTCAAGACTAATTAGCAGCGGGCTGTTTGACAAAGTCCAGGTGAGAGAGGGCAAGGATTGTCATTTTGCGTACGTGCAAAAAGGTGCGAAATCGGATTTTGTTTTTTTAAAACCAGCACGATGTAACCACACCCGCCAACAAAAGGGAGAGGGTGTTCGGTCAATAACAATTGGTCGAATACAATCACGTGACCGCGGAAGAAGAAGGAAAGAAAACCTCGATCAATAACTGTTGGACGAGGCGGTCACGTGGGCTGCGGAAAAAGAAGAGAAAAAAAGGTTCGATCGGGAACGATTGGTTGAGAGCGATCACCTGACATGAGAGAGACTAAGAGAAATAGATATGCGCCGCCCCCCCAAGAGCACTGTGAGAAAGTAGGGGTGAAAACAATAACGATAATGGAAAGTCAAAATTAATACGGCTTTTGAAATTATCGAGAAACCCCTGACGCCGACCGACCCACCCCGGTTTGTTGCGGCGTCAATATAAGCAGGACCCCAGTCGGCAGAAATCAGTTGGAGCTGAAGTTGAGTTGAAGTTGGAGTTAGGTTGGGCGTGAGTTGCAGTTCACCTCGGACGACAGAAGAATCCTCGAAACAAGAAATCCTTCCAGCCCAAGTTGAAGACAAGAAATCTTCCACCGAATTGAAGCAAGAAATCTTCCACTGAATCGAAGCAAGAAATCTTCCACTGAATCGAAGCAAGAAATCTTCCACTGGGTTGAAACAAGGAAACTACCAGCCCAAGCAGACGAAGAAGAAGAAATACAACTCAAGTCGGAGAGAAGAATCAACTGCGAATGATCGATAGAAATTAGCCCCAGTGTCGAACTGAACCACACTCCGACATACATACATGATTCTAGAAAGTAGGTAATTCGACATTTTTCTATTGTGTGATAGAAGCTTGGTGCCATAGTCCACAGAGCGGGTCGGGAAATGAAAACACTTTTGTTTTTTATGTAACGGACTTTAAGATATAAAGGTTGTTACCCTTTTATCAGCAATTTTGTTTGGTGTCGTGAGTTTTTATTTTATTTGTGTTTTGCCACCCCCGTCGGACTCAACTTGTATCGGCCCCGATCCCTGCTGGTCCCGTCTGTCTAAGATCTAAACACAGCGTGGGTAGACAGACCGGAGATCGGTATAGTTGCTTTAGTGACCAGGTATTGGAAGCGAGTCGGGAAAAGGCGGGGCTGGTGATCATCTGACCAAAGGGTTGGAGCGGCACGCTTGGACCCAGGAGGAGCGACCAGGAGGAGCGACGTCACCGTTGGCGCCGTAACCAAAGGATCCGACACTGGGCCAGGTGTGTAACCGTCACAAGTGGTGCCGTGACCAACGGATCAACCTGAGACAGCCACGTCACATATGGTGCCGTGGTGACCGAGGGATTTCAACCCTGAGAAGACCACGATCGACCGCCGTTGCTGAAAGTTCAAGCAGAAATCAGAACGACCCGGGACCAAAGGAAAAGAAGGAACAGAGTCGTCTGTAAGGTAGGACACCTTGTTTATTTCCCTACCTCGATTGTTGCTCTCTGTAGACATGTCAGATTATGAGTCGGATAGAGCAGTGGGGGGTGAAGAAGAAGTAGGGCGGGGGTTGTCAGTAGATTTAAGGGGGCTGTTGGGTGGACCGAGGGTCCCAGTGTTTGATGGTAGTGGGAAGGAGTTTAGGAACTGGCTGACAATCCTCGAAAAGAGCCGAACCATCTACGAGCTCTCGGACCAGGAAACCCTGTACCTGGCATACGATGCCACAAAGGGAAAAGCGTCGGAGTTCGTAAGGGGACTCTTGGAAAATCATCCTCGCTTGGCCTGGGAAGAAGTAAAAAACTGCTGACCAAAGAGTTCGCCGACGAGGGTACGGCCATAGAGGCCATGAGGGCCCTTTTTAAAACTAACACAGCTTCGGGAGGAGACCCCGGGAGAATTGGGGGCCCGAGCAGGAAGGCTATCGTCATTAGCATTCCCCGAGGTGGTCAGGGACAACGCAGTCATGCAGGCCCAACTGGCGGACCTGTATGTGGAAGCTCTGAGTGATGAGCGTGTTCGGCACGACGTCCTGAAAGAGGGACCGCTCAGACTGTCGGCAGCGATAGAGCTGGCCAGAGAGAGCCAGGGGTATGGGATAAGGTGAAGAGGTGTGGGAAGAAGCAGACACCAAGTCAGGAGGCTGGAAGAAGGGGGTAGGCGGAAGAACCCCCGTATGGAATCAGAGGGTTAAGGAAGAGGTGGATCGGGCAGAAATATGGGAGGAGGACCCCAATAGAAGGGCATGGTCGACCAGGCATGGCTTTTATAAGCCCCACGCCGGGTCGATATGGGCTGTCTGCTGGACCTGTGGGTACGAGGACCACAGGGCGGCGGAATGTCCGACGAAGTGGGGATTGCCCCAGACTTCAATCAGGACAGATGCACCAGGTGTGGTAAGAAAGGACACCTGGCCAAGTGGTGCGGGCTGAAGAAGGGTGCCCCACCGGTGTTGACAAGGAAGGCTGAGCCCAAGAGACCGGACCAGGGAAAAGCCAGGGGCCACCCCAGAATTAAGAGGGAGGGTGGCCCCCGTTAAAAAGGAGAGAAATAAAGGCTTGGACCAGTGGGTGGGCGAACCGCTTGGATAGGGGACAGGTTACCCCGAGGATAGACACAAAGGCCAACCCAGTTAAAAAAGAAAAGAGCAAGATGTTGGACATGTGGTCGGATGGGCCACTTTGCGGCAAGCTGTCCGACAAGAAGGTGCTGGCTTTGCAGGAGGCCAGGACACCTGAGAAGAAACTGTGTGTATTCTTAGAAACGGCCACGAGAGACCGAGAGAGGTCCGGCCGGGGTCGCCCAGGTGCAGGGGGCGCAGAACTCCACCTCATAAAAGAAATGAAGATGAATTATTATTACCGGCGCCTATGGCTGGGTTAACCCAAAGGTGGGGACCCAGGAAGAAGAAAGCCAGGTGTTCTCTTCGCTAAC